ATCAAATATCATGCGTGCATCGGTTGTTAAAGTAGCAGGTTAGATGAAAAAGAAAAACTATCATTCGTTTGTCAGTATTTGTTTTTTTTGTCTTCAATAGGTTCTGCTTGTTTAACATGTTATTTATCAGCTGGTCGTATACAAGTGTATAGTTTACCTAGTTTACGTGAACTTTTTAATACAAGTCTTGATTCAGTTATGGATTCATTCAGATCAATGATAGGTTTAACATTTACATTTACAAATCGAGGTCATGGACTATATATGTGTTCACCAACGGAAATTCAAAAAATTACACTCTCTGCTGATGTGAAGTATGTAATATGATTAGCATTTGTTAATTTTCAACGATTTGATATAAGTAGATCAGAGACAAAATGACAATAAGTGTTATGAGGTTTAGTGTACACATCATAACAGTTCAAAGGGGAGAATATGGAATCGGATATGGTTAGGTCTTGATATCCTGTAAATTTGAGCACCAATTTCTAAAGTTTTTATCTTCAAAAAGTGCGTTTATTGAGTGTCAAAAATCGACAACAGATTGCAGGAGATTATAACAACTGATATCCAAAGTTCTCATCTATACAATGCAAAAACAAATAAGTAAAAAGGCTATCACATTAACGCCAAAGATAAGCTAATGAGTTTTATATCATTTGGTTCGGATGTTGATACTTATTGTCTTTTACTGATCTTAATGGTGCATCAAATTTGTCTTTATCTTCTTCAATTTCTTATGCTCCTGCACAATTAAAGCAATTCGTATTGGAAAAAAAATAAAAATAAAATAATGATTCAACAAAAGCATCGGCACTTAAAAAGCCTACTTTTGAAATGTGCAAAAATTATTGCTTTTGAACTTGATTGAAAAATACAATCTAGGCAGTGTATCGATTTTTTAGAGTACTCTGTTCGATCCAATGAAGTAGGGCAGGAAACCTTTTTTTTGCAATGAATTTTTGACAACAGGGAAGAGTATGAAAATATTGCTCTGTGAACATCTCTGGTAGACAGGTCACTATACCAGTACGATATTCAGGTATTGGTTAATGTTAGTACTAACATTAATTAATACTAAATATCATTCAATAACAATATTAAGTTGCCCTGGCTGAGTAGTTACGTAGTTCGACACGTATTCAAAAGATACTCTATGCAAATTTCACTCTCACCAAACATGGAATGATCTTAAGCAAGTCACTAACGGCTATTTGTCTCAGATCACTTGTACAATAGCATGCTGATTACGTTGTGAAATACACCTACTTTTATCGCTAGCTAGTGTTTATGAAGAGTTCAAGTAATTGATCACAAGAATTCTCTGGATCAGACTGGCTTTTCTATCCACATCTATAGTTAGAATATTCTTCTTTATTAAATATCACATTATATTGAAATTATATCATGTCTAAAGTTTAAAATAGAAAAATTAATTATTTTCAAATATTTCTCGAAAATGATTTGATATTAATAACAATTTTCTTTTGTATCTATTTAGAGAACAAATCAATGAAATGCTTTGTGAATTATATAGTCCATCAATATCAATGCCTGAAGCACCAAAACAAAATTTTTTTGCAAAATTATTTGCTTCAAACTCAATGATTGATACCGATCAATTATGTAAATTTGTTTGAAATTAACAAAGAAAAACTTTCTATTGATTATAATCTTTTATTTTTTTTATTAATAGTTGGCGAAACAGCTGGAAAAGCTCCCGCTGGTGTTGTTAAAAAAGAAGATGTTAATGTTAATATGAATCAATTACGTGGAACAGCTGACTCAGCTAATAGTGTTATACATGATACACGAATGGTGAGAAACGAATTTTTTTGTTAATTAAATAATTAAAGTTTTAATTTTTCTTTTGTTTGTTTGATTAGAAATTACTTGAACGTGGTCAAAGATTAAATGAAATAGATCTTGCATCAAAACAAATGGCTGAACGTGCTGAAGAACTTTCTAGTCTATCACATAAAGTTATGTTAAAACAAAAAGAAAAAGCTGAATGGCCATGGCCATTTACATCAAAAAAATAGTGATTTATTTTTATTTCTCATTTTGGACTTATTGAAATATTCTAATACTCTTTAATCGGATTTTTTGTTTTCCTACCTTATACATGAGTGCAATATATCCTTAATTTCCCTATTTTAATCGCACTGATGTTGTTCATTATTGTTGTTTTTGTTGTTGTTCTTGTTGTTGTTGTTGTTGTTATTGTGTATGTGGATTTATTTTATAGTTTTTTTCGCGATCGACACATGCAATAATTCTTCACAGACTACATACTTACAACTAATTCATATGTTTTATTTTGTATCTATATTTACGACGAACAGTGACTTTAATCATAATCAAAAATATGTATGTGTGGAAACGAAAGAAAATAATATTTGATAATAGCAATGTTTCTATTTCTGATCATAAAAAAAAGTCATTTTTTTTCTTGTCCCCTGCGTGTTCATCTTTCTTTTTTTCCGAATGATGATCTCATATATGGAAACCCCCTTTTTTTTTCGCCCTAATTTGTAATCCCTCTTATATTTTTGTTGGTGTTTAAAAGAAAAAGAAACTTTTTACTCGTGCGCGTATTTAAATAAAGTGGCATCGTTTATTGCAAAACAAAGGTCAAGGAATGTCGTGTACGAGAACAAAACTTTGATCAAATTGATCAGTATAATGGAGAATAACAAAGAAGAAGACATGCAACTACATCGAATATAATCTATGTTTCAATTGCATTTACTTGTTATTAGAACTAATATTATTATTGCATTTGTTCTATGTCTTATGAGACAAGTTCTCTGATTGATTAATTGCTTTTGAGACGGGACTATATGCATAGTGTAGTCCTTAATGACTTATGAATATGCTGAAAAGAGTTCGAACTGGTCGTTGATTGCTGCTAAGATATTGTATTTGTACGGTATTTTCTAACTTAATGCCATGATTCTTCCAGGCAATAACAACAAAAAACTGAGTTTCGTATTTCGAATCGAAAATTTGCATAATGGCAGATCTTAATGAGAATATCCTAAGACACAATTATGATAAACGAGTATCTCTTGCCTCTAATTATAATTGGCAGACTTTCTTTGTTACCTGCTTTTATTATACAATGATATTTCAATGGTTTGATTTGTATATGATTAAGTATTTTAAAATTCAAATAAGATAATATTTTATAAACACGATCCATTGTCTTCAGTTTTTTGTTTTTTGATTCCACCATTCAGTACTGGAGACGAATCAATAGCTGTATTTTTCTTAACTTTTTTTATTAGGGTGAATATAGAAAATGTGATGACAAAAAAGTAGCAGTTACTATATGACATAACAGTATATATTTTGTTATAATCTTTTTCGAAAAAACATTAGTTAAAAAAAGCTTTCAAATTATTTAGCTAAAAACATTTGATTGAAAACTATTATTGAATCAAAATGATTTCTTTTTTTTGAAAAATTCTGAAACATATCATGAAGTTTTATGAAACTAGAAAAGTTTCTTTTTATCATTCGTAGAATTATCAAACAAAATGATTACATGGAGTATATACGGAAGAAAATATATCTGTTTATTAAAAGAATTCTATCGAAATTCAATATATGAACCATCGGAAGACAATATTTTGGTCAGTGTCTTACAATCGAGCCTGGTTTAAGATCGATTGTGAGGATGAGTCCGAGTGCAAATTCGCTAAAATAGTTTGTATCTCTAATATAATCTCATACCTGGCAATCAATGAGATCTTGACGTTTCAAAGTATTTCTACTTTTTCAGACTGCTAATTTATGTAAAAGCATAGGAATGAAAATCTGAGCAATTTATTGTACTTGAGAACAGATCACAGAAATGAAGAGCAATATTATTTACTAAAACAATGCATTTTTTAATGAAAATTCATCGACAGATAATAATACACCAAATGACGAAGCAACTGAATACATGGAGAAAAAAAGTGATCATGCATTATCGTGACGAAAAAAGCATTCATATATGTATCCACAAATTATGACGTTTGGCCCCAACACTGCATATCATTGCAGCGTCATGAGCAGCAAACAAACGTATACTTACCCAGATCGAACAGATTCTAGAAGTAGAAAGAAATCAAATGCATTCTGAATTACTTGCTTTTTTTGTGAAATCTGAGACGATCTCGTGTTTTTGTTGCTGTTTATGCAAGAAAACGGAATAATTGATATAGTTTTTCATATAAAGTATCAGAAAAGAGAAAAGGTATTTTTACTTCTAAAAATGCGCGATTTGTTTTTGATAACATTCATGAATTGAAAATCTATATGTAACACTTCTGACAGGAAAATTAACTTTATTTCTGTTTTCTTATTTAACACAGCCATGTCAACATGATTATCTAATTTTGAAAACATTCATTAGTACCTTGCATTCCTTTATTTATTTATTCAAAAATTTTGGATCATTATAAACGAAAAATCATCAAATTTATATTCTTTCTATAAATCATCATCCATTGTTTTAGCAATTACGTTTCCGTCTATTACTTTTTTATTGCTTCTAATGTCATGATTAATAAATGTGGACTAACAGTGGGAACATTGTGTGATGGCACAATTAAATCTTCGTGGTAATCTTCAATTAAACATAGTAATTTTTCTAATAATTTTATATAGTCTTCTAAAGTTGTTTACGGTCTATAAAGATAAATAGGCCCCGGATAGAATATATCTCTAACAAATAAAAGGTGTTCTTGTATATCTAATAATGAAATTGAATCAGGTTTATTACCAGGAGTAAAAATCACCGTGATTTTTTGTTCATTTCCAAGATCAATAGTATCACCATCATATATAAATTTACTGATACAAAATGGTTTAATTTGATAAGATTTTTTATCAAAATCTTTTGGTAAATAATCTTCACAAATCATACCATATTTCATATCTTTTTGTGCTTCAATAAAAAGATCATGATCATTGTTCTTAGAAAATTCACATTCATCACCAATTAAGGATTATTCAAAACGCCAATTATCACCAGCATGATCATGATGTGTATGTATATTAATGACCATTATTGGTAAAGATGAAAATTCATTAACAACTTGTTCGATATTTCCAATTCCCATTTCCATATTAATAAGAAGAGATTTTTTTGGACCAACAATAAGATAAGATATTACGTCTTGATGTTGATATGGTTCATAAATAGCAAAAACAGTTGGCCGAATAGCATATACTTGAAACCATGATTCATTAATCGACATACTTTGAAGTGAAGAATATTAAGGGCCAAGTAATTTATCAAACCACGAAGATATTGTTCAAATGATGACTTATTTGGTCTTACTATTTTATAGACAGAAAGTAAGTCAACAGCTGCATCGAATTTTGCTTTTCATTGCAAGTGTGAAAATTTTTCTGGGCACGAGTTGTAGTATCTCAAAGGTTGTTTACATTATAGAAAAGAAATGAATGACTTAATAACAATATAGACGTGCAGAAACAATTTAAAGAAACCGAATTCATTCAATAAGATATTAATCTTATCATAGTTATAAAGTTCATAGAATATTTCCTTTATTTCAAAAAGTATTATCGTACAAAAATCAAAAACAAACGAAAATTATCTCATGTAAAGATTATTTCATACAATACAATTCAATTAATCTTATCATAGTTAAAAATAATGTGCAATATTTTCTTTATGTCAAAAAGTATTATCATAAAAACATTGAAAACACAGAAAAATTATATAATATAAAGATTAATTGTTACAATTTAATTAAATTATATACATATATATTGCTAATTATTTTTTCATAAGCGTTAAGTTTTCTTTTATTACTATAAATCATTTTCACAATAGTGTGCAGTAAAATATACAGACTAAACTGTAAACAACTAAACGATAAAAAAAAAGTCAAATTTCTTCGTTTCGGTGTATTCAAATGAGTAAATACTTTTGTTGATGATATAGATCTATTCAAGGTACTTTTTTCGTACTGATAACATAAACAAACAATGCTTTATAGTATCATCGTTGATTTCATAAAAGAAATGTCAGTTGTTATCGAATAAAGAAGAAACAAAATATGAAGCGACTCAAATAATAACGAGAAAAAAAGTCAAAACAAACTTTTAGTCTTAGTTAGTCTAAATATACAATCAGGAATATGACAAAGTGTGATGCACAAACTCTTCACTTTGACAAGATTTTCATTTTTTCTCTGTGAAAATTGTTTGTTTTTATGGAATGAAAACGATCATAGAATGACAAAAGATTTCCACACACTCCAACTTAAAAAAAATCTTATATGTATCTTTCTATTTCTTGAAAAACTTTTCTTGCACACCCTCCCCTCTTCTGTTTTTTTTCTTCATCATATTTTTGTATATCATTGGATCTCTGAAGCAACAATTCATTCAACTTTATGGTAAAAGTCAGCGTGCCATGTTTCGATCATGTGAAATCAACATAACCATTGACTTTTAAACAATTGATGCTAAAAGTTTACATTATTTACATCAATTATATAGTTTTTTTTTTAATATTTGATAACAACTTCCATTTCTTTAATGAAATCAATAATGATACTTTAGAGATATATTTGCTTATGTTATTCATATGAAGAATTTATTTTATTCGACTACACATAGAGATATTCTAATTTTTAATCATTTAGTTATTTGTTCCTTCCACTCTGTTCATCAAACAAGGCTTGAAAAAAGAAAAAATATCCTAGATCAGAGAATATAATCACAAAAGAACAAAAAAATTAACTTGATGTTATATTGATAAAGTACTCAATGTAAACAATTAATTTTGCATTGTATCTGAAGATTCTTTTGCTAATGATTGATAATAATTAGCTAAAACTTTCCATCCTGCTGGTACCATAAATCCATCAGGAGGTTGTTCACCATTTCGAGCTATCTTTCTCATTCGTGTACCAGATATAAAATCAAATTCATCATGTTTACTTGGATCATAAAAAGCCATAGTTTTCAAACTACGATGATAAGCAGCTACTTTAAATGGTAATATTTGTAATTGATTAAGACCAGGTGCCATTGTTAAAACTTTTGCACCATGAGTTGGATCATAGAGATCTTTGGATTTATTAGATGGATGTGGTAAACCAGCTGGATCACGACCAACAATATAAAAATTCGCTCCGGTACACATACGAGCCTTAGCATGCCATTGTACTTCAGTTGGACCTGCATAACTCATTGGTGATGGAAATATGGCAAGAACAGTTCGAGAACGATCAAGTCTATCATCTTTATCTTCATTTAAAAAAGCTTGATGTTGAGCCATACGTACAGGTAATGGAACGTCATCTTCTTTCGTCCAACCACCTTTAAGCAAAGAAAAGGATTACGAATATCAAATATATTTAAAAAACAAATGAATATCTACCTAAAGGATGAAGAAGAAGAACAGGATTATGAAATCCACGATCAATTAACAATTGACGGGTTGTCTGCATAAGAAGTGAATGACCATTATGAATTGGATTTCGAAGTTGAAAAGCAAATACAGTATCAGCCTAATTAAATTAAATAAAATTATTTATTTCAAAAACTAACTTATTTTTTTTCCTTTTCTTTACTTTCATTTCACGAAAATGTTGTCGTAATTCATTTGGTGTTAAACGAAATTGATCAAGACCATCATTCCATTGAATTCTTTCAAGTACTTCAAGATCACCACCAATTAACCAATCACCACTTTCAAGAATCATCTATACATACATACAATAAAAATAATATTTACAAACTATAATTAAATATTTCTTTTTGATTACTTTAATATAAGGGTGTTCAGGATTTGTAGTACCGAAAATTCTTGAACATCGTTCTTCTTTTCTATGTTCATAAAATTCAGGTTTTTTTAAAATAGCAACAAATTTTTCATTATAACATAGAGCAATCTTTGAAGATGATTTTAGACGTTCTTTATCTTCAGTTGTACATGGTAGAACAATTGGAATGGTTTGATTTTCAACATGACCTTTTTATTTTTAATTATGTAAAATAAGAAAAAAAAACAAAATATTTTAATAGAAATATTCACCTTTCATTAAGCAACCAAAATGTAAGCATTGTAAGTATTCTACTTCACGCATAAAACCAGCAAGTGGAGTTGCCCAACCTTCACTTAATACTTGAATCCATTGTAAATCTAACTAAACAAAGAATACCAATAATTTTTCTAAAAATTTATATTTTCTTTTTTCTTGTAATTTACTTCAGTAATATCAAGTTTATCTAATTTTGGAAATTCATCTAATGCTTTTTCACGCATATCTTCATCCATGAAAAGTTCACGTACAGCAATAATTAATGTTGGTGATAAAACATGCTAAATATATCAAATTATTTTTTTTACAATTTAAATAATATAAAACATGATAGATTTGCTTTCATTATCACTATAAATTGTTAATACATATCCGAGTTATATCACAAAACTAGAATATTCATGACGCATCTTTTATATTCCTCAATTCTGTGTGTATATTATAGAACGAAAATGTTCCAATTAAACAGTTTTTTTCCATGTTTCATAATATCACTTGGGAAGGAAAAGAGATTCTAATGCTTTTGCATTCGAAAATAAATAAACTTACACGTTCAGCTAATTTTCCTATAATCATTTCAAGAGAACGATCGATAGATATTATACTTGTATCAACGATGACATCAGGATGTACTGGTGCTTGATACGGTGCATCAATACCTGTAAAGTCTAAATAAATATTTTTATATAAATAAAAGATAACAATACAAAATTAATTATTCAAACTTTTAAGTAATCCGTTTCGTGCTTTTTGATATAAGCCCTTCGTATCTCGCTGTTCACATACAGATAATGGTGTATTAACAAAAACTTCAATAAATGGAATTTGTGAACTTTCATGTAATTTTCGAGCAGATGCTCGATCCTATTGATTATTTTTTAAAAGATATGTTATTGTTTTTATTAAAACTTTTATCATAAAAATTTTACTTCTTCAAATGGACTAATAAAAGCAACAATACACATCAGACCAGCATCAGCAAATAGTTTTGCAACTTCAGCAATACGTCGTATATTTTCAAAACGATCACTATCAGAAAATCCAAGATTTTTATTAAGACCACATCGAATATTATCACCATCGAGACAATACGCTGGTAAACCTTTGCTTACTATATATTCTTCTAATGCAAAACTTGAAGGTACAACAAAAATAGAGCGCTGGTCAATAAAAAAACCAAAAAAAAACAAGTCAATATATTTTCTTACGCTATGGTCGATTTGCCAGCTCCCGAAAGTCCTAGATAAAAAAGCATACTTCAATAGACAAAAAAATTCAAATTAAGAAAAAAATACTTACCAGTTAACCAAACAGTCGAACCGCGAAATGCTCCACGTTGTCCTAGTGCTGCTGCACGTTTTTCACGCGTAAGTTTTGAAACATGATAAAAAACATTTTCTCGTTCCTAATAAATAAAATTATTTAAAAATAATACAAAGAAAACCAAACAAATATTTTTCACGAAGAAAGATGATAGAAAAAAGTTAAGTTCATACATCATACTTTGTTAGACATAATTGTACGTGTCGGCGAAGGTTACAAAAAAAAATAACTCAATATGTCGTACTCAACATACATTTTTCTTCTTTTTCTGCATGAGTGATTCTTGGTATCTAATAGATGAATTTAATAAGAAAAGAAAAGCTCCAATTTACCTGGATATTTTCCTGTAAGTTCAGATGGATATGATTCAGTGAAATAGATTTTTTCTCAATTTTGTGTTCAGCTACTTTATTTATTATTTCATAAAGCTTTTTAAGTAAATCATATTCATCATTAACAATATATAATGATAAATTGTATGTAGATATAAGATTAACTAAAGAATTCCAATCTATATGATCAGATGATTGATTTAAAACAATAAGGTCAATTGTAGAAGAAGATTTGGGTTTTAACAATGATAATAATTTAGGTAATGATACCGATACGGTTGAACAACAACAAATAATTGATGGAAATTCAAATGATTGAGATAAATCAACTTGAATATTATAATCTATATAGGATCTGATAAATGTCGACAACGTAGACTGTTGAATAAAGTTTTGGTTTTTAAGAATATTGCCAATGAAATCTATATCGTCTGTGTTTATCTGGCATTTAAATAATGGAATCGATGACATTTAATTTTTATATTAAAATCTATTAATGTGAAAGATAATATTGAAGTAGCT